GTGTGCATCAAGCTACCCTATATGGGAAATCATAGCAGCTTGATAACTAGACAGAGACTGAACGCTGCTGTTAAAAGACTTTTGATGCAGCTAATATCATAATAATAGAGAATGTAAAGCCAATATATCTATCTAAACCCTTCGAACATGAGAAAAATCATGTCACATCCCACTGTATTTACCGACCGAAAGCTGCTACCTTGACGTGGTGGTCGGGCTTGAACACCGCAATGACCTAATCAAGCTATACTGGCTGAGACTTATGTCTCTTGAGGTTCTACCATGCCAGGCAGGTTGTTTGGATAGCGGTTAAACAAAAAGCAGCTACCTCATCCAATACCATGATCCAAACAAATTCACAAAATTTCATGCCGGATCGGCCGTGGCCCGGATTAACAACGACCGCGCTTCCTGCTGCCGTGTCACAGGGCGGGAGTGATAAGTATGCTACTGAGGCACACCAAACAAAAAGAACAAACAAAAACAGGCCGCGTGTGACCGGCCTCAAGCAGTTGTCCCCTGGGCTCTGCGGTCACGCAACCAACTTCCACGGTGTGGGCAGCCGGGAAGTAACAATCGCCCTCACAATCCGAAATGCACACAAAACCTCTCTAATCCTCACTTATCTTTGTCTTCATCTTCATCTCTATTACCTTGCCTTCCTCCACTGATGCAACTCCTCTACTTGATGGCTCCTCACTCCCTCTTCACTCTGTGTCCACTAAAAACGACGAAAGCCAAAAAACCACCACGGATAGTCTCCTAAAGCCACGCCACCAATTTCATATAGGAGCATTTAATGTTAGGACACTTTGCCAAATAGGACAACAAGCATCACTAGCTAAGACCCTGGCATCTCGAGCCATTGATGTATGTTGTGTTTCAGAAACACGCATACAAGACCCAAGTGTGGTTATTCACCTAACCCCACCTGGCCAACAGGATGAATCTTCAAAATTCACCTTGAGGGTGTCAGGAGATGCCACAGCTAGTTCACGAGGATTAGCTGGCGTAGGGATAGCTCTGAGTACTAGGGCAGAAAAGACATTGCTTGACTGGATCCCAGTAGATAGCCGAATGTGTGCTGTCCGTCTGAACGGATCAGTAAGAAGGAGAAAGGACTGCACTACTCGCCGATGCCTTTTCGTAATCTCCGCCTACGCCCCCACTGACTGCAGTTCGGATGAAACGAAGGATGAGTTCTACCAAAAGCTGTCTAGTTTGGTGAGAAAGGCTAAACGCTCAGATATAGTCGTTCTAGCTGGTGACTTTAACGCTCAAGTAGGGAAATTGTGTCAATCTGAGAAGGATGTCGGTGGCACCTATGGAGTTCCGTGCCAGCGAACCGACAACGGTGACCGTCTCCTACAGTTCTGTTCAGATAATCATTTGTTTCTTGTAAGCACTAACTTTAAACACAAGGAGAGACACTGTTTAACCTGGCGACCCCCATCATCAAACCAACGCTGGACACAAATAGACCACATAGCAATAAGCTATCGTTGGCGTGGGTCGGTAGGAGATTGTCGCTCCTTCTGGAACACGTGTGTAGATACCGATCACGCACTGGTCCGGGCTCGTGTGTGCTTACGACTGAACGGACGTAGGAAACAGCTGGCGGTAAAACCATCACGTCCCCAGCTCGATCAGGAAACTAAATCCCTATTTGAGGAAGAACTAGCTAAACGCATATCTGAATTCGACAGCTGTGCTCACCCTGGAGAAGCCTGGAAGAATATTCAGTCAGCTATAGATACAGCTGTAAAAGCTGTGAATAAGGCAAATCCAAAGGTGAGTAAAAACCACTGGATTTCGACTGCCTCATCCGAACTGATAGATGCTAGAAGACTTATTCCGGCGAGCTCCGAATTCAATGAGGAGCGAAAGCTGCACAAAAGGAAACTTACTAAAAGTCTCCGCAAGGACCGTGAACAGTGGTGGGTGACAAAGGCGAAAGAGATGGAAAAAGCATTGGCGATAGGCAACACTAGGCAACTCTTTAGACTCATCACAGAATCGGGTGGGAGAAGGCAATTCATAAGTGAGACTATTTCTGAGAAAAATGGCTCCTTAATTAGCTCTCAGGATAGACGCCTTGAACGCTGGAAAGAACACTTTGAGGAACAATTTAACTTGCCTACAGCCACACTGAACCTCCCCGCCATCCACCACGTACCCGAATGGGATATAGACACTGGTCCGCCGTCTGTAGGTGAGGTTACAAAAGCTATCAGTAATTTGAAACGAGGCAAAGCGGCAGGACCCGACGGAATTATTCCGGAGGTGTTTAAATATGGGGGTGACATACTAGTTTGTAGATTAACTGAGGTACTAGGCAAAGTCTGGGAATCAGAGACAGTACCATCAGACTGGGGTAAGTCACTTATTATACCGATATTCAAGAAGGGAAACAAGTCCTCGTGTGATAATCATAGGGGGATCAGCCTAACGAACATAGTCTCTAAAATCCTAGGCTCAGTAATCATGCATAGACTAAGCAGAACTCGGGAGGAACAGACAAGGGAAAATCAAGCAGGCTTTAGACCAGGTAGAGGGTGCATAGATCATATCTTCACTCTTCGACAGATTCTAGAACATAGACACACTTTTCGGCGTCCAACAATTGTCATATTTCTTGACTTGAAGGCGGCCTTCGACTCCGTGGATCGAAAGGTACTATGGCAATGTCTGACTGTGAAGGGAGTGCCAAGAAAGTACATTGCACTAATCAAGGCACTCTATTCAAACTCACGTAGTCGTGTAAGGGCTTATGGGGAATTGTCATCTGAATTGGTAACAACCAGTGGTGTCCGACAGGGATGTCCACTTTCCCCATTTCTGTTTAACTTCATCATAGATATGCTAATGGAAGTATCCTTAACTGAACGTAGTGACTTAGGAATCGACTTGTTACCAGGGAATAATCTAATGGACTTAGAATATGCAGATGACATAGTCCTGTTAGGGGAGGATGCTGACAAAATGCAGAGTCTTCTGAACACCTTGAGCAGCAATCTTCGTATGTTTGGCATGCGATTCGCCCCTGCAAAATGTAAGATGCTGCTACAGGACTGGACCACGTCAACCCCTAACTTAGTGATAGGGAGTGAAGTGATAGAACATGTTGACCACTTCACCTACTTGGGAAGTTGTATTAGCACCAACGGACTGATTGGCGATGAAATCTCAGCACGGATCCGAAAAGCTCGAGCTGCTTTCGCTGACTTACACCATCTCTGGCGTAGGCGTGACATCCGGTTATCAACCAAGGGACGTGTGTACTGCTCATCAGTTCGCTCCGTCCTTCTCTATGGCTCTGAAACATGGCCAATACGCGTTGAAGACATGAAAAGGTTGACTGCTTTCGATCATAGATGTCTGCGATCTCTGTCTCACGTTAGGTGGTTTCACAAGATAAGTAATGTTGACGTTAGGCGTAGAGTGTTGGGCAAAGAGGGAAAATCAATCGACGAGGCTATAAAGTTACATAGACTAAGATGGCTAGGTCACGTGGTGCGCATGCCTAACCACCGCCTCCCCCGACGGGCATTGCTAGCTGATATAGGTTCAGGTTGGAAAAGAGCCAGTGGTGGCCAAACAAAAACATGGCATCAATCCATGAAATCCTTGACAGTTAAACTGAGTCAGGTAGGGAGATGCAGACTCCCGGGTTGGGGCCCTCGGGACTCTAGGAATCAATGGCTGGAGACAATAGGTGACATGGCTCAAAATCGTTGTCAATGGCGCAGATGTATTCAGTCTCTGTAATCTTTCATATTCCTTTCTACCATTACCCATTCTGTTTCACTCTTATATTTGTCAAACTCTATTGATTCTCTTCACTCATCTTCTTGTCTACCTCTGTGTGCTATTTGGAACGTGGCAACTCGAACTGCTGCACTTCGGTGCCAAGTTCTATGTTGAATCCAGACAGACAGACTGTATTTACCAATTTGAATGTACGTGTGGACACACATACATACGGAGGACTCATAGATCTCTTCAAGTGAGGGCTGGCTTCAGAGCATATTCCTAAATGGCTCCAGAAACAAATGGAATCTTCAGAACCCATTAATGGTGTGAAAAGGATACCTAACTCTTCCAATGCGAAACATATTATAGAGACGGGACATAAATATGACATTAACAGATCTTTTAAACCTATCTATAAAAAGTGTTTGGGCGAGGATGTATCCTAAAGTTTGTGGAAGCCCTAGCTGGCAATTAGAAAATTTAAACCACCTTTACGCGTTCAAAAACAATCCGTTATTACATTAAGCCTTCCTTGGTAAATTTGTTTTGATACCAGTCATGGTAGATGTACTATTAACTCTGCTATTTGTTTTAGTGGTCTTCATTGTTATCTTGACCTTAAATATGTCCTTTTAACTTGACCTAAGTAGTGTTTTTTCTCACCTCTTAATTCCTATGACAAGTCCGTGTGTGATCAGATTGTTCGAAATATGTTGTGCGCTCAAATACATTACACGATTCAGACAAATTGAGTCTTTATATGGCTAAATGACTTGAGCAATATGAACTTTTAGCCGGTGGATCTCCACTCAAAAACCCAATAATTGTACTACGGTCTGCGCAACTAGGTAGTATCTCCAACCCTTACACAATAAGTTTGGCTTATAGCTTGGTACATGAAAAATTAGTTCCGGGAAACTGATGAAGGATAGATAGATACATTAGTACATAGTAACTGATACTCCCTATCAATCTAATACTACAGGCATAGATAGAGTAAAGGGAGTGAACAAAAATAATACAAGTGATAATAAAACTAGGAATGCACACTGTAAGATTTACTATTCAAAAACAAAAGAATCTGAATGCGTCTCATGCGAAAAAGGACAGTTCTGAATTCAAGAAACATCGCCTAATATAGCCTCTATATATGATATAAGGGAAACTATTAAATCTTGTATGCGTAACATTTAAAAAAAAGAAGTTTCAAATAGTGTCAAAAAGTATGAAAAGATTTGCAAACTTACCGATATTACTTGATCAGCTTCACATTCAGGTAAGGTACCAATGATAAAAATATTGAATTGCCTTCTTCTTTCAGTTGAGCTAAATAAGTCGTAAGATAAGTTTCAGAGATTAATCTTGGTGCTGGGAGCATTGAATTAAGATTGAACCATTGGCTTCCAATCTTTCTTATTGTGAACCAGTGATGCTGATAATGACAAATGAAAGCTTTTTGTCCAGCCGATTTTCTCTAGCCAATTCTGCTTCTGGACACTGTCTCAAGAAAGGCACTAATTCTAAAGACCATATTTGCAGAGCTTTGCAAATAACCTATAAGGTTAGAGGAAGATGAAAAAAAAAATACATAAAAGCGTATTAAAGCACATAAATATAATAATTGAAAGTATGGAGTGTCATGTCATGTCATCAACAACCGTCTTCGCTCTATACTGAAGATCAGATGGTCGAGCTGGAAAGAATCACCAACAAGAAACTATGGGAACAAACAAAACAAGAACCAATCGCCCACCAACACCAAATATGCAGGAGAAAGTGGATTGAGATGGATTGGACACTCGCTGAGGAGGCCGCCGCTGGGTGACATCGCGCGCGCGTCAGGCCAGTGCTCGAGTGGAACAAGGCGGAAAGGGAAGCGGCGAGTGGGACGTCGGTGCAAGGGTAACATGGAGGAGATCGTGTGAAGAGGAGGAGTTGAAACAGTATGGACTAACACGGATGCAGGTGAAAAGTACAGCAGAAGACAGAAGCAAGTGGAGACGTGCAGTTGAAGCCCTATGTTCCACTAGGAACCCAAGAGAAAAATAATAAATGGAATGTCATGTAGGATAAACCAATGTATTTGTCAAATCACTAGTTGTGATAACTTCACAGATTGAGTGACATGGAGTACAAGAAAGCCCAAAAGTCCAGTGCAACAGAAAAACTAATAATCAAATTAAAACCACAGTAACAAAACCACCTTTGATTCTTGTTGTTGTTGTTGTTATTTTTTACAGAGAACAAAACGTGACTAATAGCAAAAGATAATCAATAATAATGGTAATAATAATAGAATTCGCTTTGCGAAAGTGGTACTACGTGTTTCAGTAGTTCATTTTGCGAAAGACACCTCTGAGCATACAGCGAATAAAAAACACGAGAATTCAGGTGACTATTTAATCAGAAGAGAAAACTTAAGATAGTTATTATTGCCGCAGAAGTAAACTCAAAAAAGAATGGCAATTTTTTATGATGGGGTGGAATCAAAAGCTATTAGAGAAAAATAGGTGCGATTACCGACACGACTTAGGCATTAAATAAAGGAGGGGAATCCTCTTGAATGCTTCAAGTTGCTAACTCCCATATATTTAAGGCAAATAGAAAAGCTTTTAAGCACTGATTATGAATTAATTAATTTGATGAACACCTTTTAATGTGCTGGACCATATGACTATATGATGCACAGAAGCTACGAACATGAGAAAACCTAGGTGTGCCGACTACACTCCGAACACAATCAGTGGCATTGTTAGTACTCCTTGATCTAAGAGTAATATTCTATTCTATCGATCCCTGTGGCATTGATTCCCACGAAAAAGCAACAAAATTTTATACTATTGTACTCCTTATTAAACAAGCATACTAAAACCTATCTAAAAAGGCTTGTACTTCACGTTGGATACCCATTTCTCTATCGAAGTACGCGTGCTGAACCTTACTACACGGTTCGGCACAACTGTTTGTTGATGGAATGAGAAAAATGCTGGTTTGGGACTATGACTTTCTTCCGTTCTGTCTCTTTTGATAGGCGGATCGACACGGTAAGTATTAATTAGGTAAAGAGGGAGAGTTAGTCTTCTTCCTATTTGTTTGATATGAGATTTGGAGAATCAGGCTATTATATAGAAGTGCCGAATGACATGTCTATTTACATTGATATACTCGTAGTATCCTGACAGGGTTGTAATAATATCAGTTTCTTAGTATCACCAAATATATAGAAAGGTAAACTATGTATAGCAACAAAGAACAATTTTAACTGACATTTTTGTCACGATAAAAGTCTGAACACCCACTTATGGTACTTGAAGTAGACCGACCGGTAGTATGACATGTTCTATGTTGTTGTACTATACTCATGTATGACGTATTTTTACGAGTGATCACTAAGTATTTTCACTTTTACTTCTTGAGCATGGATTTCATATCCAGTCACTCAAACTATTTATGGTATTGACATGCAATACTTAAGACTTGTTTAATCATATTACAAGAGCATGAAGAAAACAGAGGAAAGACAGAACATTAATGGTACGGAGTGGTGAATGAGTACGAATGACATCAGCTTTGAGCGCATTATTCACATAGAAACGACAAATCACTAAGACAGAAGTGATAATGAGCAGTGGTGCCATGGTCTCTTTAGAAATCAAAAATACGTTAATAAGGTTTGAGACCAGTGAAAAAGTCCATTTAGTTGAGTGGCTTATTCAAAGCAAAAATACCAAAACTGTTGCATACTACTCAGAACGCTATAATGATTATGACCACCAATCCACAGAGCTATCATCCGCTGCTTTGTATTTGAAAAAAGTGTAAACTCACAAGCAATGTTGCTTATTTTTAGAATCTATTCAAAGGACAACTTTGCATAAGTAAAACAAATGGATTGCCTAATCAAACTCACTTGCACTGAGAAATAACCTGTTTCGTCCATGTTCTGGAAATTGCCAATTGCGCTACAACTACTCCCCATTGCTGACGATTCTTGTTCATCTAACTGGCTAGCTATGTTGGCTAAATCGACTGCTGTGAAATAAGGACCTTGCAGAAGTGCATTCAGGCAATGTTGGGCACATAGGGAACCGTCTTGCTACTCCATATTAGTAAAATATTACTGGTTATCTACCTTTTCGTGAAAAATTAACTCCATTTACATTTCGTTTTCGCAGTGACTAATTTTATATTAGTCGACTTGCCTCAGAGGAAGACAAGATCGTAAACAGCGCTGGTGAGTGTGTGTACTCAAGTCACGCTGTGATTGGGAGTAGTCAAACGACCTTGAGCCGTAACTCCAAATCGTTTTAAGAAAGCTAACATAATATGGTCCGTTAGTGTTTTGTATCCAGAAGGTGAGAACTATGACACACTAATGTGGTCTGAGTTTGTTCTTGAGATATAGAGGTATGTGTTTCTCTAGCTTTAGTCCAGAAGGTTACAAAATATATGCTCTATAATCCACAGTACTCCTGTTCAGCCCTTGACCTTGTGTTCTCCCATGGTGAGAATTTGGACCCCATATAAAATCTTCCTCCTTTATGAAGAATTGATCCTACTGTGCTCACTTTCAAGTTCACAGTAGCAATATCACTGGACAAAACCCCAGCCCGACAAACGTCTGGAAAGCTGAAGAGGCCAATTCACTGAACTGGTAAATAGTCCCAAAGTTCCAAGCAGAATCCATATCAAACCAATTTAATCAACTATTCGCTCACGTAACCGAACCTTTCACCCTTTGATCTGTTCCAAAGGGTCAAAAACTTTGTCCCCTATTGGATAAACCGAGAGATTCTTAAATTACTCAAATGTAAACGTGAATACTGAAATATGTTCATTACGCCTGGGAATTCTGAGACAATAGAGTTATGCAACATTCAAAATGCCTTCGACTCAAAATGCAGCGCCGTAACCTAAGAAAAGTTTCTGGTTCATTAACTTCACGAATAGGATATCCAATGGGGTCCTAAACCTAACTATTGACAATGGAACAATCAAAGAGAATCAAGGAAAAGCAGAAGCAATAGCACAGTACTTCTTCAAAATCTCTACACAGGAGTCATCTTTCCCTATAGCACCAGCTCTGGTTGCAAAAGAAGAATACAGGATAGACTACACTGAAGTTGACAAAAATCGTATTCAAATTTCTTAGGAATCTAGATGCAGGGAAGTCAGTGGGTGCGGATCATGTTCATCGAAGGCTTCCCAAGGAGCTATCAGCTCACATAGCCGTCCACTGACTACGATTTCCAGGCTATTTGCCGTAAATGAAGTGTTACGTGGCGATTGGAAAGACGCCATAGTAGCTCCCGTCAACAAAGGAGGATTAATATAATGCCCTTCAAACGATAGGCCCACTAGTTTCACCAGCACCTTAATCAATGTACTGGAAAAAATCAGCGACAAAGCTGTCATGGCATATCCGGAAAACAGCAGTTGTTGTCCACAGCACGACAGGGCCTCGAAAAGACCTCTCATGTCTGTCAAATCTTCCTACGGTAAGAGGAAGCTGGGTCGGGTCAAGGGGCAGCAGAAGACCCGTCGGAGTCGTTTTCATAGACATTAACAAAACCTTCAATAAAGTTCCTTGCAAAAAACTACTCATGAAGTCGAAAAGTTTTTGTATTAAATTCAGCCTACTAAACTGGACCAGGGAATTCCTCGTTGATAGGAGGCGGAGAGTCAGGACCAACTCCAAAACCTCCACTTGGAAAAATGTACATAGTGGAATGCCACAGGGCAAGGTACTCAGCCTTCTCTTGTTCATCTTGTAAACCAGTGAGTTGCCTGTGCTCAGTGACTCCCCTATGGTCCTATACACAGGTGTAAATGTAGTTGGAGATTGAACGATCAATTCATGGTTGTTCGCTCAAACCCAACTCCTCCATATTTTTCGCGGGAGTCATCCATCCAGCAGTCATCATCTCATCGTTCGTTGTTCAGGAAAGATAAAAAACTATCAGAAGTATTATCATGATCTTTATTTTATTTTTTTATTTTCATTACAGCTTGATTCCACACTGTTTTTTTGGTACTAGTTTGGAATTTTCAGCATGCGATATCGGCAGCCCAAATTGTTATAACATTTGTTCTTAGACCTTGTGTAATAACCTTATTGTTGGTTATATGTTGGTGTAAGAATAAAGGATTCTTGAGTCGCCAATCAGTATTCTGGTTTTCGCGCTGTTTAATACAAAGCGTTTGTGAAAGTCTTCGAGGGACAGCGTGAGGTCCAGCGTAGTAAGAGCTGAACATTGACAGTTAATGAGAGTTGACTGACAACAGGTAATTTAATTTTATTTATAGAGCTGAGGGGTTGCATTGATAGGCTCACGTTGCAAGGGGAAAAATTTTTAAAGTGGTCCAAAGAATGAATACTCCTAATCGACTTAGCGAAATTCTCAAACATGCGCACTGGATACACATTGTTGCGCTGTAGTTTCAGATCTTTACGAGCAACTCACAGGGTGTTTGCTAGAGTCTTAGAGATGTGTTCACCTCCCTATATACACCTCTGGTGAGATAAGGACTGGAAAACTGTATCCAGGCAAACATTCCTTATCTTAAATGGAGCCTACATATTCTGGAATGGGTTCAAAAGAAGGCAACTCGTATGATTCGTAGAATGAATATTTTATCATACGAGAAAGGACTAGACGGACTAAATCTCTTCCCCTATACTAATGCAGGTAGAGAGGAGATCCAATTACGGTGTTTAAAATTTTAAATGATGATTACAGACCTGGTTTTTTCTCTTTTCCTTCCCTCCAAGTCGGAACACCTTAGGGGACATAGCAGGGTAGTTCAAAAGATAAACAGAAAGTATATTGCTCTGGAGCACTGGTTACCACAACGAGTAAATAACCCCTGGACCGACTCGCAGAAGAAGTAACGTCAGCGCTCTCAACTGATTCATTCAAGAAAGGCTTGAACAAGCATATGAGTTTACTAGAAAAGTGTTGACTTGGGCTTCAAGCCTCCTATCTTTAGTCAACAAATCTGAATCTGAAGAATATATAGTCTAACTGTACAGTCAAATACCACATCCTGATCCGAAATAGAGTTTTATACTGGATACTGTATTTCGTCAGAACTTGTGATACGAGTAAGTAAAACTGTCTCTCACCAGTGGATGTGTTAATCTCTGTTAATACGGCTGGGATTAACACAAAACAATCAATAAGCTAACTCACCTCGATCCCATATTGGTGCCTCAGGTTTATTTTAATCTAGTCATTTCTATTTTTAACTTCGCCCAGTAAACTGGCCTGCTAGCCGGTCACAAGCCCGGGTAAAGACGAAGTGTTGGGAGTAGTGTTGGCTGCTCTACACAGTGGTTAGGACTCTCGCCGACCATATACATGGTCCGAGGTTCGATCCCCTGCCGACGCACACCTGATATCTATAATAGGCCTGCGAAATTTGGGCTGCCGATATCCATGCTGGAAATTCCATACTTGTACCAAAAGTACAGTGTGGAATCAAGCTGTAATCAAAAAAGCTATAAAGCTGCACAAAATATGTCAAAAATACAAAAACTTCAAATAAAAATCTTATTCTCAGATTAAATAGGAGAGACGAAATGACACAACTTGGTGAAACCGTGACTTCTGGAAACCAGTCAGCCAACCGATGTGTCTGCTCTCAATTAAAGCAAGAACAAGAATAGGGACGTAGAATGTCAGCACAATATACAGGACTAGAAAGGCTGCATGGGTAGCCAAAGGAATGCGAAGATATGGCATAGAAGTGCCGGATATCTGCAGGAGCAAATGGAATGGATATAAATTATCTAAATTTTCAACTGGAGGGTTGTTAATCTACTCCGATCTGGTCACTCGGACGAAAACCACGAGCAAACTGAGATAGTGGCTTTCATGATGTCGTCATTTACAGCTGAAGCACCAATACAATGTGGGCCGATTTCATCCAGGATTGTAACTACAGGATTTAACTCAAATGCTACGAATAAGGAGGAATAAGAGAAGAAAGTGGATTTCATCGGTGGCTACAAACAGTAATGGACAGTATCCTAAACAGTGACATCGAAATCCTCATGGGCGATACGAATGCCAGATGAACCGAGAACAGATAATACAGGAAGAGAACTCATCATGGGTCGAGATGCTCCCGGAGAAATGGATGAGAGTTCGGAACTCTTTGCAGACTTTTGCGCTTTCAATGATTTGGTAATAGAAGGCAGCGTGCACGAGCACAGGGATATACACAAAACAACACGGATTTCGCCTGACAGACACACCATAAACCAGAAAGATTTCATCTTAATGCCGCTCAAGGAAATGGAGATGCAGTCCGCTAGACACAAACTCGAGAAGGGGCTTAGACCACCATCCACTTCAAGGAACAACCAGAGTCATGCTGAAAGCCTCCAGAACAACCGGAGACAGAACACAATTCAAGTTCAGTATTTAGAAACTGAGGGACAAAACAACAAGGGATACCTTCTCTGCACATGTCAGAGCGAAGTCGGAGACAATATTTGACACCGTTGAGGAAACCTGTGAAAGAACATTGGAAATCTATGAAGACGATGTTCAACGAAGCGTGTGCAGCTGTTCTATGCAGAGAGAAGAGACAAGAGAAAGAATGGCTCTCAACGGATGACTAGAAGCTTATCGAGGAGGGGGTAATGCTGAAAGAGAATATGACTCAATACAGAGATGGACAACAGAGGTACAGGTTGGGTTCAGTGTACACTGAAACGAATAAAGGGGTGAAGAAGAGTGCTAGGAAAAACACAAAGCAGTTTTATGACACCCGCAACTAACGTAGAGCAGGATCTAGGTAAAAGACACCTCAGACCACCATATCAGAGAACCAGGGAAAGATCTACCCGGATGATGAGACCAATAAGAAATGTTCAAGAGAGCCTCACTGTCAAGCAGGAGAAACAAATAAGAATGGACCAGTCACGTTAAAGGACTCTCAGATGGACCATCATCTGCGGCTCGCGCAGAAAAACTAATAACAGCACACAGTGCACACCAATCATCCGACAAAAGCAGGAATCCTGAACGCAACAGAGCTAATGACAGCCACTCGAGAGGGCAGCAGGACCAGATGGAATTCCTCCCGAAGCACTGAAACTGGACACACAGACTCCCGCAAATGTGCTAACACCAGTATTTTGAAAGGCTTGGAAGGAAGGAAAGGTACCCACTGGTTGGAAGAAAGGCTGTCTTGTCAAGCTGCTAAAGACGGGTTGAACAGGACTCTGAAAGAACTGGTGAGGAATAATGTTCTTGCTCAGTGACGCCAAGTAAAATAGTAAGTCACATCATCCTGGAGATAACAAAAGGTGT